ATTGAGGAATCGAATTCACCATGGTGTAGTCCTGTGGTACTAGTCCGGAAACTAAGCAAAGTCAGGCCGTCAATTAATTCCAGGAAGGTGAGCCCGATCACAAAGAAGGACTCGTATCCGTAACCCACATTAATGGGTTGTTGAGCAGGTTAAAGGATTCATAGTTTATAAGTGGTATTGATTTGAAGGATGCTTTCTTTTAAATCAAATTAGCGGAATCGTCTAAGAAAAAGACGGCATTTGCGGTTCCAGGAAAGCCATTGTACCACTTTAAAGTAATGCCCTTTGGCCTGTGCAACGGACCGCAAACAATGAGTCGGATGATGGATAAGGCTATCCCTTTACGATTGCGGGAGAACGTCTTTGTCTACCTGGATCACCTAATGGTGTGCAGCTCAAACTTCGAAGATCATTTGGAATTGCTGAAGGAAGTGGCGAAATGCTTACGGGAAGCGGGACTTACAATCAACGTAAAGAAGAGCAAGTTCTGCCAGAAGGAAATTCGGTATCTCGGGTACTTGATAGGCAATGGTTGTTTCAAAGTAGACCCAGGCAAAATAAAAGCGATAAAGGATTTTCCGATTCCCAAGTCTCCTCAGTCAGGTTCGCTGACTTATAGGAATGGCAAATTGGTACAGGTCGTTTATTACCAATTTTGCAGTTTGGCGGGTCCAATGACAGATTGCCTTCAAAAGTCACCTGGTCCATTTAAGTTAACTCCTGAGGCAGTTGAAGCATTTGGAAAGTTTAAAGTTGCACTCTGTTCAGCGCCTGTCCTGGCACAACCAGATTTTACTAAAGAATTCGTAATTCAATATGATGCATCCAAAATAGGAGTAGGAGGCGTGTTATTTCAGCTCGATGAGGAAGGGGCACAGCATCTCATAACTATTGTATCAAAGAAGTTGAATAATGCTCAGCGGAATTATACGGTCACCGAGCTGGAATGCCTCGCCGCAATAGTGTCAAGCATTTCACACCATATATTGAAGGATTGCCTTTTCGAATAATTACTGACCATTCAAGTCTCAAGTGGCTAATGACACAAAAAGACTTGAGCGGCAGGCTGGCAAGATGGTCGCTTCTATTGCAAAGATACAACTTTAGGATGGAAAATCGCAAAGGTTCTTTAAATGTTGTGCCGGACACCCTTCCGCGTTTTGACGTGGACGAACTCTCCTCTACCCCACCTCTAGAAATTGACTTGGCATCACCGGAAACAATTGAAAACAATCACGAAGGGCTACCCGGTCTACGCATAGTCGACAATAGAGTTTACAAAGAGGTGTGGAAGAGGATTCGCTCTGGCGTTTGTGGTTACCGGAAGGGCTGACGGAGCTCACAACCAAATGTTTACACGATTCCAATGCTAGTTACCATGGAGTTCGGCAGAAATATTTTTGGCCGCAAATGGCAAAGGACATACGCCTCTATGTGAACCGATGTGAAACCTGCAAAGCTGTGAAAGCAACAAATCAAATGTCCAGACTACCTATGGATCATACCTTCGTATCGGAGAGGCCATTCCAGCGTCTTTATTGCGACTTCTTAGGACCATACCCAGGATCAAAGAGAATAAGCCAGTTTTTGTTCATAGTGCTAGACCATTTTTCCAAATTCGTATTTTTGAACGCGATGCAAAACGCCATGCCGTCCAATGTAATTAGCTACTTTAGTACAGAAATTGTTCCAGCTTTCGAGGTCCCTCAATTCGTCCATAGTGATTAAGGGAAGCAATTCTTTTCGAAGGAGATGCAGCAGTTTTTTGAAAACTACGGGGTTGTTCATATTAAGACGAGGTTATACTCACCGCAGGCTAACGCCTCTGAACGAGTGAACAGGGAGATTGTTTCCAAAGTTAGAATATTACTGAAGGACAAGCAAGATCACATGGACTGGGACAAACACTTTCTCGAAATTCTGTCGGTTTTAAGAGGCGATTACCATACGTAATAATTAAGAAGAATTTAATTAACAATCCTAAATCATTTTATGGTTTCGTAAATTCATTGGTCATTGCCAACATGGTTGCTCAGTTCTTTAGGTCCACCTATTCTGTAGACTTCCCTATAAGTGGAGAATATCCGTTCGAGCTTTGTCCAATCAACTCTGCTTATATTCAAGTAATATCTTCCATGAAGTTTTACACTATTTAAAAACCTTAAAAGCGTCATTTAGGAAGGACCTGATCATATTCCGACCTGTTTTCTTAAAAACTGCGCTGAGGACATCTGCGAGCCTTTAACAACTCTATTCAATTTGTCACTAAAACATGGGGTTTTCCGTCAGCCTGGTAGGAGTCTCATAATACCACTTCACAGAAACGGCAGCAGGTCCTCTATAGAAAAATATCGAGGCATAGCGAAGCTCTCCGCTATCCCCAAATTATTCGAAGCAATTATTGTTAATCAGCTGACATATTCTATATCTTCTTCGATTTCACAATGTCAACACGGATTTTCTAGAGGAAAATCTACTATCACTAATTTATTGGAGTTTACAACTCTTGTCTCAAACGGTTTTAGAGAAAATGCTCATACCGACGTAAT